GTGCCTCGGTTGCACCCGAGGCTTCGCGGTGCGCTTCGCCGGTTTGGAGTTTGCCTTGTGATTGGTATCTCCAACAGCTTCGTCGCCGGCGTCATCAGCGGCGTCGGCATCATCTTCGGCATTTACTACTCCAGCAGGATTTAATTCCTAGATCGTGATTAGGACCGTATTGCCTGGTTTCCAGTAGTGACCTAAATTTACCTCTCCATCACCCGGCTCGTAGGTCGGGTCTTTGACAATCTCATCATTGTCTATCGCATCCTTTACGCCCTTGCCTTCGTTTGCCCTAGTAACTCTGGGCTTTTCCTTATCACTCGTATGTGAGTCAACTTGCTTCTTACTGGACGAGGCATCTGATTTTATTCCTGCTCTTTCACGAATTAGCTCGTGCGTGTAGCCAATCCTCCAGATTACTGGAGAATTGGCCACACGCAACGATTCATCTAATTCGTTTGCCTGCTGGTGAAACTCCATAGCATAGGTTTGGTCGAATTCTTCAGCAATAGATTGGGAACAGGATAGGGAAGTTGCAAAAACAAAGTAGAGTTTGTAGGCAAGGAAGAACGAAAAGAATGGTTGTGGTGTATTAAAAAAGACTAGGGAAAGTTGTTGGGAATGATAGATTGAATTTTCTAAAAAAGCTTTTGTGTCTTCGTGTCTTCTGCTAAGTGATGAGGGTACCACGATAGTTTCCAGGCCTATGAAATACCAGTTTAATACGGGGAACTCGGCGATATACAAAACACTAGGGGCATGGGTTTCGAGGGGTCGAGGGGTGTTCATAATAGAGGTCGTCAACGGTTTCTTTTGCGGTTAGCTATGAGTAGGGAACATCGCCGAGGACACAAAAGAAGGTATTGTTCTTGGGCTTCCTACTGATATAAGCTTTGGGTTGAAAGTAAGAACCGAAGGACATTGTAAGTCCCTTGGCCTCTGTCTCAACATTATTTGACATCATGATCGTTCACAGAATAGATTAAGAAGCATCAGCTGGCCAAAAGGTAACTGTGTTGTCAGCGGCAACATAATAGTACACCGATTCTCAATTTACATGATTACTTGGAATATAGATAAGAATACAACCTAAGGTTCACCATATTTCTTTCGACTCCGGGAAATGTTGTAAAACCCTTCAAGGCAGGAAAAGGGGCAGATACCTGCTCTCTACTAAGGTATAGTATGAAATATGAGTCTTTACATGATGTGGTGGCATTATGTCACATGTAGAGACTGCAGAGACCGTGGCTCGGCCGATTAAAGACTATGTTGGGGTTAGGCCGGAGCAACGTTGGTGTCGGAGGTCCGTGTTGTGTGGACCTTCTTCGGACCGTTCCGCCTCGATAATCCAAGAAATTCACGATGCTTTCAAAGCCAAATTATACGGAGATATGAGGTGAATTCAACGTAGACCCCAACGAAGTTTTTATTTGTCACTCCCTTTGTCCATTTATCATTATTTTGCACGTTGCTAAAGTTAGTCGTCAAGTTAGAACGTTTATATGTGAATTACTATTCACGAACACCTAATTTTAAGCACAACAAAGTCCTAGATTTTTAACAATTTTAAAATTAGTGCTTTAAAAGTCAGAGTGAATATTGGATATATAAATGTTTTTTGTGCTCATGCTTGCTTTTATTTCTATTCTTATATATAGCCCTCCTTAAGTTGATAGGTGTTTGAATAAACGACAAATCTTTCATAATACTTAATTTAAAACTATATGCCACTTTTTAATGATTAACGTTGTGGACACAACAAATGTAATAACGGAATACACATAAAGTACCTAGGTAGTTACAAAATATTATATGAATATATAGGTGCTTAAGTGAGGTTTTATCTACAGGGACAAGTTTCACTTAGCTTAGATGCACGTAAGGAAAACTCATGGATATACATCTAGGCAAATCTACAATAATAGGAATATTGTAGAAGTTTTGTTCCTGACTAGGACGATAATAGAAACCCTAAAATTAAGTACCCGGGAAAAGGTTATTTCTTTTTCCAAAAGTGATCTAACATTGCTGTAAAGGAGAAGTGGGGTATAGGGCGACCTTGGATGTATTCTGCAGGAAAGCCAAGTATATGGGGTATCTATCTTCCCAGCTTTTCTTTCCCTACCTCTTTATCCTCCTGTCCCTCCTCTTCTTTTCCTTTGTATGACTAACTTATGATTTCACTGATCTATGATATATAGTTGAGAACAATATATAAAAACAACCGATATATTTCTGATACGACAGAAATAATAAAACTGCCAAAAAGAAATTAAAAAAAATAATAAGGGAATCTTGAAATCTTATTATTACATATCTATCTACGAAAGACGAATTTATCTAACACGCTACACGATCACTGTCTAAATCAATATCCGCTACAGGTATAAATTTTGTCCGAGCCACCACTTTATGCCCAACATAAAGAACAATAAACAAAATCAGACTTATGTATGCGCCGAAGAAATCACTGGTATTCCACTCGATAAAGACGGTGAACCCGTTCGTCAACGCAATCAAAATACAGAAAATAAGGCCAAAAATTGCCAAATAAGGCTGCAATGGAGCCTTGAAATGTAGGTTAGCCCTTGAGAGACCGCGGTGTTTCAACGCTTTCATGAATCGAAGGTGGCATATGTTAATGCAAGCCCAGGTGATAAACCCGGCGATACCGGTAATATTCAGCAGCCAGTTAAACACTTCGCCGCCGATCTGGGATAGGTTGAGGAAGGAGAGTAGTCCAACTACGGCCGTAGCAAGGACGGCAACGTAAGGGGTCCCAAACCTATTTGTTCGCGTCAGGATTTGGGGCGCATTTTTTTCACTAGCTAGTGCCATCAGAATTCGGCTTCCAGAATACACGTTTGAGTTTGCAGCCGAGAGCACAGCGGTGAGAAGGACGCCATTGATTATATGGGGGAGGACCGGAACGCCAGCAAGCTTAGCAGCAATGACTAGTGGCGACGCAGAAGCATTCGTCGTACCAATAAGGAGAGCAGGATTATCAGAGGGCACCGTTAGGCCGATGAAGAATATGACACCGACGAATAGAGACACGATGCCCCAGAAGGTCCATCTGATAGCTGAGGGGATGCTCTTGGTGGGATCGGCTGTCTCACCAGCACCGACACCAACAAGTTCCGCACCCTGATAGGAGAATCCGGCAGTAACCAGGACAGACCAGAATGCAACGAACTTCCCAGCAGCTCCAGATACGACAGACTCGTTGAAAGGACCGGGCTCAACCCACGCGTGGAAACCGAGATAACCTTGTTGGCCGACACCAGCATCGATGCAGATAGCGAAGATGATGAATCCAATGATGGTGATGACTTTAATGGACGAAAACCACATTTCGAACTCGCCGAACCAGCGGATGGGGAGGAAGTTCACAGCAGTGAAAACAGCCCAGAATACAGCGATAAATATACCGACATTGAGACTCGAGTTCCAATACTGGATGATAACGCCGGAACCAACCAGCTCTAACGCAAAAGTTGTCGCCCAGCTGAACCAGTATATCCACCCCATGGCGAATCCGAGCGAGCGATCGACGAAGCGGGAGGCGTAGACGGTGAAGGATCCAGCGACGGGAATGAAAGTTGCCATTTCGCCTAAGCTGGCCATGACGGAGTAGATGATAGTACCGACGAAGATGTAGGCGATGAGACAACCGACCGGACCAGCTGTGGCCAACGCCTCGCCACTACCCAGAAACAAGCCGGTTCCGATTGTTCCTCCTATGGCGAGGAACTGTAGATGGTAGCTGTGAAGACCACGATGTAGCTGCTGGTCGTGGCCAGCCTCGATGTCCTGGTGAGAGCCATCGAGCGATTGATCGATGTCTCCTACTTTCTTCTCCCCTCCGAGTTTCTTTTCGCTTTGGGGGACGATACCCTCCATTTTTTTCTTCGTTTATCCCTCAATTATTATTATTATTATTTATTTTTATTTGAGAGGTACTGGTGCTCTTCGACTTGGAGGGAGAGGAGAGGAGAGGAGAGGACTATCGATGCAGTCGAAGGGTGCATAAGAAGAAGGATGATAATGAGTCAACAACTCGGCTTGTTCACCCGCGTGTCTGCGTCTGAGGCAATGACAGACAAAAAGCAATCTTTTACGCAAATGCAAAGCAGGGCAGCAGCTCCAGACCAGACACGTTATAAATGGATCAAGAGATGGACTGCAGACTAGTCAGCACACGACCCCATAGGATGAGGTAAAAAATTCTCCAAAGAGATCGATAACTGTTCCCCATATTATCGTGAGATACAGGGCATTCCCTGGGCTGTACTTGCCAAGATGGGCCAGTCGGATCTACCGAAGCATCTCACGATCCGGCTGGGCCCGCAACCAGCTACACGCCGAAGCCGCCGTGAGTAAGCGAATCGGCAGCTCTGGCCGCAGTTCGTTGCCTCGTTGCCTCTTTGCCTTATGAAAATGCCCGGTTGAAAAGGTTTTCCTGACTCTTGCGTACCCCCCTTGGTTGCATCCATTGGCCAACCAGACGGAGTCTTTGACTAAAGAGTTACTGTTATTGGAAACGCGGGCCGAATCTAAGGAGGGCCGTCCGCCTAGAACCTTGCAAACCACGCAATTAGATCCGCGACTTTAACATTAGAAGCCCAACTCGGGAGGGAGAAGCAGGGATCTTGGGTTACGATGTCAGAACAGGATAAGACAGACAAGATAACATTAACATTACACTACATACTGACCAGCCGCATATGACTGACCGTGGTGAGAGGACCAATGGACCAATGAACCAAAGGATCATCTAAAGATCAAACTAGTTAGTGCAGCCATTTTACTAAGACTATCATTGTAAGCCTCTTTTCTTTCTTTCTCCATTTTCTCTCTTGACGCTATATCATCATTTATAAGACTCTAGGTATAATCTAAAATTTTAACCCATCAAACTCCACACACACATTTACACTTGGGAGTCATGGAGGCTACAAATCACCAACAACAAAATGCCTCTTGAACGAGTAACCTTCCCATCTCGATTGGTCTAGTGGTCAGGATACCTGCTTGTCATTCGGTACAATCCGCAGGTGGCCGGGGTTCGATTCCCCGATCGAGAGCTCAATGAAACACGCCTTCAATTTTTTGCTCTTTCTTTTTTTATTTCCCTTAATCCCTTTAATTCCTATTCGACGATCTTGAATTATTCTGGAAGGTCCTGCCGTTCTTCGTTTTTTTTATCTTCCGACTTGGCTAACCTAGCTAGTAAGTAGTGTATGGTTAGGTAAGGTATAATAAATGTATCACGGTTATGGTTAGAGTTATAGTATTAATTACAGTTACAACTACAGTTATGGCTGTGGGTTAGTTCTCTACCTATTGTCAATGCTCTGCTGCGTGGATATAGAGCAATCATACATAATAACAAAAATAATTGGTGGCTGGTGCTTTACACTTGTGGTTTAGCCACGGTTATAAGGGCCTATCCTATGGGACCCCTTTTCTTATTAGTCTATGTACCAGTATTAGGTGGTTTACCTACTAACACATTTCCCTTACCTAAATCTTGGTGTAGAAGAATACAACTTCAATCTGCAATAACATATGCACACACACACACACACACCTCAAGGCCTGCCAGTGGCGTAACTTATTTTCCCGGTTCGACCTGTTTCAGAAGTTAAACTAAGCTCATCAGACAAGGTAAGGCAAAGGCAAGGCAAGGCAAAGACAATGGAGATTCGGATTTCGTAACCGAATAACGAATTCTGTGTGTCACCATCGTCAGTTTCAATGTCCCCAGCCGCTTCACCGAACCCTTAAATGGATACTTACCCCAGGTCCAGTTATTACCTATTCCCACTTACCCCGTTTATCACAATCAATGACTAACTTTTTGATTATATTACACTTCGTAATCACAATACATTAGAAAAGAGACACACTCGCAGCAACAGAATCCATACTGTTCTCCCAACTGCACTACTACCTAGCTACCTACCCATGATTATAACTAGGTTACTATTCCCGGTGGGTTGCGTACTATATCATGCTGAACTTGTTGATCTCGTACATCACCATCCCCATCTTCCCCATTCCCATTCCATCTAACCGTCTATAACCGCGCCCCAAGATGCATTACCCCATCTGCCCTTGACTGGCTTTCTCCAGGATTTCCAGCATCTCGGAGTCCAAGATCCCCTTGAATCTGGGTCCTGCGGTTCAAATGTCGTATTTCTTGCCTCGTCGTACGTCACGTCAGCGAGTTAGGTAGCATTGGGGCCCCAAGGCGCTCATGCTAATCGCGGTTGGTTTGGTATTGCGAATTCGGGGCCAGTAGCGCATGGGGATTGAGTTACCATCACGGTGCGGCGACCAACCAGCGTATGCGCCATCTGCCTACATCTACGGACACAGTAAACCCATCAGCGCCCACAATGAATGTGTGCTTGCGGGATACTCGTCGACTGGGGCTGTTGAGAAGGCAGCGCGTTACGCGTTGGCTGCATTCGGGTCATGAAGACTACACTTGACCACTATGTAGTGCCCCTGATTGGTTATATCTTTAAGTAGTGGCCCATGACGCAAATACCTTCTACGGCTTCGGAGCTGGTTACGCAGTTTATCCTCGAGCTGGGAGGATCAATTTGCCGGCGCTCGGCTTAGATAGCAGCGCTGCTACGTACGCTCCACCGAAAGCGGACCATGATCTCTATGCCGCCCAAACCCTTTTCCCTACAGCTTGATGCCAGGATTCTCTTGATTCGGAGAGAACGAGACACTAATGTTTGAGAATTTGCTGCTTACTGCCTGGAGTGTAGGATAGGTATGTGAGCCATTGAGTTACACATGTATAGCCAATGGGAGAGCCTATAAGCCGACACCGACGCACTTCGACGCATTGGACAACTTTCCCACCTTACCCCAGACAATGAAGTATGGATGGATCTGAATCATCTAACTAGCTGCTGTAACGGGTCACAACGAGTCATGGGTTGACTAGATTGTCAGATGCAATGTCTCTTTGCGCTTGAAAATAAGCCGATGCCGCTGGGGGAGACAGCATTCCCCGTTGTTTTTCCCCTTCCCCGAAACTCGGCCTTCCTGCATGATGTAGTTAGCGACTACTATTCTCTTCCGGTGATACCCATCCCCATGTTCGGACCCCAAACGCATCTTCTCTATAGATTTTTCGGCGATGTCACAGACTCACAGCAGCGACCTAGGCTAGCGCGTCATCTCCAGTTAAACGTGACCCTTGCCGACTTAATCGCATTGTGCCCCCCTAGCGAGATCAATCTTCTAGCTCTTGGTGATCTCCGCTCCAACGAGATGCCCCCCACATGCGGGGAGAGCTTTGGATCGTATATATTCACGGTTGCCCGGCGGGCTGTCATGAACTATATTTGCTCTTGGAGTATTCATGCTGAATATCATGGCGGCTAGTAGGGCATTGTGGCGGACCTGTGGAGCGGAAAAGGAGCGGTTAGGGTGCAGCGGAATATAATATAATCCGCTGCAAACTGTCAGGCGTCAGAATGTTTTGGTCAGAGCATACAGCTCCTAGAAGCCGGTGTATAACGAATAAGGAATTTATTAAAATTCATCCATTGGGATGTAAAAATGGCTTCCGACTTCAACGTTATCCCCCAAAATTATTTGGCTGTGGTCTTGAAACTAAATCTCGGACGCTACCCCGTGTCAAGAGAGTATATTCTATATGCAAATATTTAGCAAATAATACAGGAAGACATCGATTTAGAGTGTTGTGGATTTAAACGGGTCTTAATGAACGATAGTTACAGCCCTCAACCATCCTACACGCTTGATGTCAGCCTTTCCTTAATCCCATCGTCATCGACTACAATGAATCATGTACCCGATTCTAGTTCTCACTTGCCTATCCGAGTGGCTGTTGTCGGCGTAGGCTTGATCGGCCCACGCCACGCGCGTACGGTGGTGAATGCAGGTCGGGATGTTGTGCTGTGTGCCATCGTCGATCCGGCCCCAGCGGGCAAGTCTCTTGCAGAAGAACTCGGTGTTCTTCATTTTGGATCCGTAGAGGAAATGCTGCAGTCTCTCACCGAAGAACGTCAGCCTGATGCAGCAATTATCTGTACTCCCAACCATACTCACGTATCGGTAACCAAGGAGTTATCGTCGGCAGGCATTCATGTCCTCGTCGAGAAGCCCATCAGCTCGGATATCCCGAGTGGCCAAGAACTTCTCGCACATCTCCAAAGCTTACCTAACCACGGGGTGAAAGTGCTGGTAGGCCACCATCGTAGATTCAACCCATACATGGTGGCTGCGAAACGAGTCCTATCTTCGGGACGTCTTGGGTCCCTCCTCGCCATCAATGGCCTGTGGACAATCTACAAACCAGCCGAGTACTTCATCCCACCTATCGAGTGGCACGCAAGCAAAGCGGGTGGTGTAGTTCTCATCAATATGGTCCATGAAGTGGACCTCCTGCACTTTCTCTTCGGCCCAATCTCACGGGTCCACGCCGAGAAAATAACGTCTCAGCGGGGCCACGAGGCCGAGGAGGGCGCCGCCCTTACGTTTCGTTTCCGCTCCGGTCTCGTGGGCACGTTCCTACTTTCGGACCACACTCCTTCACCATACAACTTCGAGTCCGGGACTGGCGAGAACCCATTGATCCCGAAAACGGGCCAGGACTTTTATCGGGTCTTCGGGACAGACGGCTCATTGAGCGTGCCGGATATGACGATATGGTCATATGGAAAAAGCGAGCCTCCAGATCAAGAAACCTCGCACAAGAGCAAATCTTGGCATTCGCCTCTACTCCAAGAGACTATGCCAATAACGGAGAGCATCCCATTTGTCCAGCAGCTAGAGCACTTCGTGAGGGTTATCCACGGCGAGGAAGAGCCGAGTTGCACGGCACAGGCTGGGCTCGCGGCGCTGGTCGTGTGCCAGTCGATTCGAGATGCGCTAGAGGGGAATACAACGGTGGAGATTGAAGAGTATGAGCTGTGAAAAAGTGTACCGGTGATAGGGGTTTTCAAACATTAATGCCGGAAGGCAACTAGTATTACAATGATTATAGATGTAAGGGAGATGGCTACATGACGTAAAGCCTTGTATGTGCCATGGAAGCTGTGTCTTTTCCATGCAGGAGCCATAGGTATAAGTCTATTAGTTTGCATACAGAGGCATATGATGTAGAAATTGTTGTAGTGCCATATATATGAGTTAATTGTCAAAGGGCAATTAGCATATGCTTTTGTCCGCGTCAGAAATAAACTATGCTTAGAGTGGCAATAAGCTGTAATCGAAGAATTTGACCCAGAACTTTCTAGACATGTAATCAATACTAACACGGAGGTATAGATTATATAGCTGCCTACGAAGATGCGGGGGTTCATCGAGATCAAACAGCAAAACTCCATTTACGGCTACATACATATAACCTATCTAGAGCTGGCACATATATATCACCTGGCCATTAGTTCGCCTGGTTTCTCGTACGAATGGGCGCCAAAAATATATTAATGATAACCTACATGCTTTAAGATTTGGCTTTGGGCTTTTGTTGAGCTACGAGCGGCTAGGATATTCACCCCCCTTTTTCAACCCCTGAAACAATACAAACATAGGTAGTTGCTACTTTGGTGTAGTTAACTATACACGAACAACCTGCTCGAAGGCTCCAAGGAAAGTGTTTGATCCAAGTAATAAAATAATGAAACCTGCACCGTCTTATACTGAATAGCTCTTGTGCATCACTATCGAATTCATTGTATGTCGAGACTGAAGACCGATGGGTCTAATCTGGCTACATATTGATTGTTCCATGGTTGCCTGATATTTGGAGTTACAAGTATATCTATAACCAGTTCTTATATAGAGAGATACAATGCTTTCACAGCCTCTTGTAGTTGTACTCGGAGTGATGTTCCTCGATTATTCTGATGGCGCAGGTAGGTACGTAAGTCGTGACCCTCCGAAGTATAGTTATTCACAATACGTACCTTATGCTACGATCCATAAGTCTATGCTGTTCGATATGACATATCTTATACCTCAAATTCTCAGCGCATTCGGTTCCGGATACTTTGTGAATAACCCGGGTATATCGTTGCATAACTAGACG